ATTTCCCCCCATAATAAATGTATTTCTTGTTGTTGGTTTGTCAATGAGTCTCTTCCAACTCAAGTGTTGAACAGGCCGCCATTAAGACTGTGAGAATTTTACTTTTTTTTTTTTTCCATTCTAATTTTCGTGATTAGTCTACATTGGTATATATACTATTTTAATCATAAGTATTATAGGTATTTTAAAAAAAAAATATTTTGATTTAGCATAGAATTTGTATATGTTTGTAAAATTGTTGTACAACCAAATTGCACCTGTTAATTTTTTTTTTAAATTTAAACCATTATTATTATTATTATTTTAAAAATCCAATGAATGTGAAGGTAAAATGTGGTAAGCATATATATAAATGTTTCTCCAAATGTTCTGTGAGACACAAATAAAGAGAAATTTAATTTTCTTTTGATGTCTTAAGGGCTTATACTGTTATGTGTTAGTGTTATGTTCATTGGGGTAACTCTTTAACCCATGGTGTGTAAGAGTAATTTTTTTTGATTGGGGTAACTCTAATCCCGGGGGGGGGGGTGTAATACCATTAATGAATGGGTTTTATTGGAGTAGCTCGCTAACCCTAGGTGTGTATGATTACCTGTGTTGAAATGAATTCCCGTGTAACCCAGCCAGACCTTTGTAGGATTCAGGCGGCGAGCTCCGGTTCTGGGTAGCTGTTGAGTTTGGTGTACCATTTGTTGAAATCACGATTCTCTCTAAGATGGGCCCTGGGCAGCTGTCCAATAAGGACATTTCAAAGTGAAGTGACATTGCAATGTTATAGACGGCTTTTTTTTTTTATTTTCCAAAGTCCGCGGACAGTTTCCGGTCCTCAGCATGAATCAAGAAACAGGAAAAAAGTTGATGGTTGTCTCGTTTCAAAACAACCTAAAGAGATTGGTTTTTTTTTTTTTGGTTTTTTTTTTTTTTTTTTGCGACATAAAAATATCAGGCGTTGTACAGCACCTAAAAGCTAAAAATATCAGGCGTTGTACAGCACCTAAAAGCTAAAAATATCAGGCGTTGTACAGCACCTAAAAGCTGATGAACATCTTGGGCTATGCACCGGATTAATTTTTTTTGTTATTTGAAATGCTAAAACTATTTTTGAAAAGTACCACACAAGATTTGACCAATCCAGTTTTAGAAATATTTTTTGGGCCCATCATGATCATTGCTAAACTGTAGAGCCAATGTAGTTTCAAAAGGGGGGGGGGGGAAAGGAGCTATGCTTGCAGAAAACATTCAATAGCAATATGAAATGCTAAAACTATTTTTGAAAAGTACCACACAAGATTTGACCAATCCAGTTTTAGAAATATTTTTTGGGCCCATCATGATCATTGCTAAACTGTAGAGCCAATGTAGTTTCAAAAAGGGGGGGGGGGGAAAGGAGCTATGCTTGCAGAAAACATTCAATAGCAATCGAACCAGGCGACTGAAGTTATGTGACGAAAAGGGAATTTCACTAATAGGCCCTTGACCATAGTTTTTGGATGATCGTTTGCCTTTAGTTTGAACCAAAGGTGCCATACTAACCCCAACTACGTCACAAAATTATATTGAAGAAGAAAAAAATTAATAAAAAATTATTTTGTTTAATCGTCTGACATTAACTGATGATACCAGAATACCTTCGACTTGGCTGTTCGCTGCTTAAGAAATATTTACGACATATTAAGGAAAAATGAAAGGAAAAGAATTAATAACCAATACCATCGGGCAGTGGGGAACGTGTTCACCGGTTTTGTCAAATTCAAACATCGTTGAGGCACTGATCTACGGCAGTGGTTCCCAAACGTTTAAGTTTGGCGGACCGGTGAACAAGTTTCGAAACTTTACCAGGGACCGGTGCATGATTTACTTGTATACTTTTATTTCTATTCGACAATAAATATTTATGTTATGGGGATCGGCAGCATTAGGCATGCGGACCGGTGAAGGTCCACGGACCGCCATTTGGGTACCACTGATCTACGGGACCCCGGCTGCGGACATTTCTTTCGCGATTAACTCCCCGTGGTCTTAGCCTTGCGATCCGGTGCGGCGGGAGCTGGTAGTCGAATATCTTACTCTAAATTTGAGTTGGTGTTAACTTTGCATGGAGTTTAAGATCCGTCCCATAGTTGTGTAATTCGTGAAAGATCTAACAGCACGACCACCCTCTAACTTTAAAAGTTTGGGGAGGGGGGGGGAGGGACTTGAAACATATGGCTGGGGGAAAACCTGGGGGGGGGGGAAGACGAAAGGGCAAAAAAAGGACGCAGTGTCGGTGCAACTGAGGTGGCCACAGCCCGAGGCCCAACTCGAAGTCCTCATAAGATATAATAGATCATAAGGCCTGCTCATAGTTTATAATTTCAACTCAACACGTTATCCCTAGGTACAAATAATCAAATGGGGGGTATCTGTACGGCTACGTTTCCAAGGTCAATGTCATGAAGACTTTTCGGAAGCAAGCTAAGGATATGGGATTATACTATGTATAAAGCCTTTTCTTCAGGTTTGGGGGGGGGG